CTAGCAATTCATGTCCCTCCCGGCGTGACGCTGCGCGCTGACGTCACGGGGCTGTAATGGTGGTGTGCCTCGAGATTTTTTTCATGAAACAAGTGTGCCTTTGTCCAAAAAAGGTTGGGAAACACTGCTCTAAATCTCATAAGAACATGAGAAAATCCTGCTGGACCATCTAGTTAAGCGTCCTTTTCTCACAGTAGCCAACTCCTTGCCTGTGGGAAACCTGTGAGCAGGGTTCGAGCACAAGAGCAACTCTCCCCTCCTGCAGTTTCCAGTCACTGGTATTCAGAAGTGTTGCTGCCTCAAACTCTGAAGGCAGAGCACAGCCATCATGATTTCGAGCGATCAAAGGCCCTCTCCTCCATCATTTTGTCTAAGCTATCTACCATATTTTTAACTCTATAGGACACACCTTTTCCCTTCTAAAAAGTAAGGGGAAATGTGTGAGCGTCTTCTGGAACGAATGCAGGCTGCACGGCTAAGCCCAAAGCCAGAACAGGGAGACGGAACACTGCGCAGCGCTCCGTCTCGCGGTTCTAGCTTGGGGCTAGCTGCGCAAAGCCTCTGCAGCCTTCAAAGGCTGTCCCCGAAGCCAGAACAGCAAGAGGCCATCCCAGAAGCCAGATCCCTCTTGCTGTTCTGGCTTCTGGGGTTCAGAATTTTTTTCTTCTTGTTTCCTCCCCCCCCAAACTAGGTGCGTCTTATCGTCCGGTGCGTCCTATAGAGCGAAAAATACTGTAGGTGGAGCGAGTCCCATAGTTTAACTACTTCTGTGCGAATGACTTTCTTTTGCCTGCTTTGAATCTTCCATCATTCACCTCCATCGGATGTCCACAAGCTCCACGAGAAACTATATTTCTTGCTTTTTTCCTGCCTTACTCCCCAGGTATCCCTCTCTGCAGACCTTGGCTCACAGCCAAAAGCCCCCGCTCGCCCCAACTGGGCTACTTACCACCCTGCGGGCTATCCTGCCACCAAAGCAATGGCCAAGATCCTTGCCCAGAGCGCCCAGTGGAACGCTGGGATACGGCCGGCGCCTGCCCAGGGTCCAGTCCCACAGCTGAGCGAGAAGGGGAAGAAGGCCTTTGCACGGACAAGTAGAAGCTCTCCAAGTCAGTAAACCCGGTCATTTCACGTAAGGGTGGGGTGGGGGTGGTGGGTGAGCATTGAAAATATCAACCCCCTTTCACTCACATCATCATTTTGTTGTTTTATTGTTACTACCGAGTTTTTGAAATTGTAGACAAAAGTTCAGTATCACTCTCGCTGTAGCCTTATTGGAGTTCAGCGATTGGGTCTGCGTTGCTCCCGGACAGGAGGAAGGAAGTCTAATGACACCGAGGGTTGGTTCAGAAAAGAGTTCTTTATTTCTGCTCTCCGGAACAGCAGAAAGGCACTTGCGTGGTCAGTCCACAGCAAGTCCAAAGAAATGAGAAATTTCATGCAGTATATATATCCTCCAGGCACCCTCTCCCTCCTTCCCCAGGAATCCAACCACGTCAGCCTATACACGCAGGTTGACATCACATATGTTTCTGCTCCGGTATTCTTAACCATAAAAGGGTATTCCTTCCTGTACTTCTGACCATAAAAGGATATTCCTGTTCCTACTCTTATCTTGGAGCAAGAGGTCACCATCTCCAAGAACACACTCTGGCGCTGTTCCCGGACTAGGTCTGTGCGTCAGTGTGGTCAGGACATAAGATAAGACCTAGACGTGTCATCCCTGTTCTACTGGTACAGTCAAGGTCATCCTTCCCGTGACTGATAAAGGAGAGAGCTGTGTTCTTGTTATGCATTTGCTCAACGGCTCAGGTTTATGCATTTTAGAAATGCTGAGAAGAAAAGGGGGGGGGGTTTGAGTCAGTTTTAAACTGACTACACAGAAACCCATTCCTTCATCACCATGCACAAATTCGGCCGTGACAAGAACACTAGCTAAGCCTAAGCGATTTTAAAGAGAGCTTTTCAACGAAAAAGGCGCCCAAAACTACATCCCTCACAAGTTGGATGAAATAATAAAGCTGTGACAAGCTGCAGTCTTAACCATAGGCAAAGCAAAATTAGAATTAAAAACGACACCAAGACTTGGCCCCTACATTGGCATCCGTAACTTATTACGGATAGCCAATGTAGCCGGTAATAATAATAATTTATTATTTATACCCCGCCCATCTGGCTGAGTTTCTCCAGCCACTCTGGTCGGCTTCCAGTCGAGTGTTAAAAACAATACAGCATTAAATATTAAAAACTCCCCTAAACAGGGCTGCCTTCAGATGTCTTTTAAAGATAAGATAGCTGCTTATTTCCTTCACATCTGAAGGGGGGGCATTCTACAGGGCGGGCACCACTACCAAGAAGGCCCTCTGTCTGGTTCCCTGCAACCTCACTTCTCGCAGGGAGGGAACCGCCAGATGATCCCCGGTGCTGGATCTCAGTGTCCGGGCTGAATGATGGGGGTGGAGACGCTCCTTCAGGTATACTGGACCGAGGCCGTTTAGGGCTTTAAAGGTCAGTACCAACACTTTGAAAATTGTGCTCGGAAATGTACTGGAAGCCAATGCAGATCTCTCAGGACCAGTATTATGTGGTCCTGGCGGCCGCTCCCAGTCACCAGTCTAGCTGCCGCATTCTGGATTACTTGGTAAGAAACAAGGCTAATATATTTCCTTCTCTTTTTGTATTGTTTAAAAGACTGGAGCAACAGGCTAGCCAAATTCTGCTATGTGCTTTTGGAGCAGATCACTGATGTTCTGGGACACTAGCAAACATTACAAAGTCATTAATTATTATTATTATTATTATTATTATTATTATTATTATTATTATTACTACTACTATCATCTGAACATGTTTGGGGGGAGAGAAGGCACTGCTGGATGTACCCAGGTGCCCCACCTCCACCCCCGTATCTTAAGACAAGCCTCCGTTGCAATACAGATAGGTTGAAAGAATGTCAATGTCAGGTTTAATTTTGCAAGGGGCTGTTTCCTTTTAGTTTCTCGCTGTTGACGTTAACTACTTCATTTTGTCTACCTGTTCCAGCATCTCCACTCTTTGAAAGCCAGCCCTGGGAACTTCCCCCGTCAGACACGGGATCTGATGCAGAACAGGAGCATGGAGAAAAGAGACTTTTCAAAGCAATACACTTGAATTAATCTCCCCAAGGGAAAGACAGATGTCATTGCAGGTTACGATCGTGTTCCCAGAGCCCAGCTTTCTGAAAAGGGGCTTCTTTGGACGAGGATTAAGAATCATGTGGATTTATCATGTCTGCATTTCCATGGTGGACTAACCAATGACTAACCAATGGACTGTTGGGACAACCTGGATTTTTTTTAAAAAAAATATTCTGTTCAGATAGGAACTTTGCACGTGGCCTTAGACAAGGCACTATTTCTCAGCCTTAGTTTCCAAGCTGTAAAATGGGAATGGTGGTGGTGGAATTGATGATCAGCAACAGTGCAGTGCTATGCATATCTACTCAGAAGTAAGCCCCACTGAATTCAAGGGGACTTACTCCCTTGGTAAGCATTTATAGGATTGCAGCATCAAGCAGACTCGGTTTTCGTAATGGTTACTGGCAACTTTGAGTTATTACATAAAGAGGAAAAGAACTCAAAGGAAGGATTTCGTTCCAGTAAGTAGGTGACTGAAACATAATCAACGGTAAGAACACGATTAAACAAAATGGCCTATTCCAAAGTAGCAAGTGTGACGCTCACGCTCGTCCCTCTCCCTCCTTTCCATAAACACCCTTTCTTGTTTTCCCCCATTATCAACATTGGGACTGTAAGTGGTTTGGGGCCAGAGACTTTATAAACCCTGTACACTGTGATGACATATGGATGGTCCTGGGTCTATCAGTTTGGCAGCCAACTGGGTCCACCTTAAAAGAAAAAGAAGGGTAGTAGTTTCTGTGTGCTTGGGGGAGTCTCCAACCTTAACCACACATTTCAGGTGACCCCTCACCTCCACCCTTCAATGGAGTGTTTAGGGAAAGTTTGCAGATAACTATGCTAGCGCATTCCTGGGGAGTGGGGAGACAGAGAAAGAAATCCAAAATTAACAAATCCAATTAGCACTGTAAAGAAACGTTCACATATTTTACTTCCTTGGCTTTTATCTTTCCTGAGGGAAAAAGCAGCCCTGCTTCTTTGTCCTCTTGCCATTGGTGAAATCTGGGATCACGCAGCTTCAGCCTGTTTTCTGCTGCTGTGGGACCTGATCCGAAGGATCCAAGTTACAAGAAAGGAGATTCCAACTGAATAGAAATGCTGTTCTGAAAATAAGAGCTGTTCAGCAGTGGAGCAGACTCCCCAGAAGATGGTGGAGTCTCCTTCCTTGGACGTTTTTAAGCAGAGGTTGAATGGCCATCAGCCAGGGATCCTTGAGCTGTGATTCCTGCATTGTAGGGGGTTGGAATAGATGACCTTTGGTGGTCCCTTCCAACTCGTAAAATTCTATGATTCTATATGCGCTCAGCAACATCTGTTTCTCTCCACCCCCTTTAAGCTTTTTGTATAGCCAGATGGAGAGGTCTCAAAGGCTTGCTCACTTCTTTGTAGCCTTTCAGTTGGTCCTAATAAATCAAATTCCCTGCTGTTACATTTGGATTTTATTTCCTCTCTTAGACTGCAGTCCTAGCTCTACCTGGAAGTTGGCCCCATTGAATTCACCATGACTCAAACTTCTGAGCAGGCGTGGGACTGTGCTGTATAATTAAGCCTTCTAATCTGGGAAACAAAAGAACATTTAAATGTATTCGGCAGTCCTGAAAATAATTCGCCTTTTGGGTAGCTTCGTTTGGCTGCCAGAATCTCGGGGAAGGAGCGTCCCCCATCCATCATGACACCAACCACTGGAGAATCCCCTAGTGCAAAGATCCCCGAACTTTTTGGGGTCACTGCCCCCTTGGTTCCGTAGACCCCAGTGCCCCCTACCCTCTAGACAGCATTATTCAGAATAGTGGTTTGCATGACCTAAGGAAGATGATAAGGCAATAAAATTCCAAACAGTAACAGCTGTGCATTTATTCAAAATCCAATTGAAAATAATGAATACAATGAAATGGACTTGATCCAGCGATGCCAGCTTTCCAGATAGTCACCTCCAGTGCCCCCCATCTGCCCCATTGCCTCTTAGTGCCCCCCCAGGTAATCCCACCACCCGCAAGAGGGTGCTGCTGCAACCCACTTTGAGAACCACTGCCCACATGAGAGGTTCCTCCGCCGCCACCAACTTCTCCATGTCGCCTCTCAGTAGAAGACCTTCTCCAGGTAGGCATTCAGGAACATTCCTCTGGGGTCCAGCTTCTCCCGGATGGAGCAGAACTCCTGGAAGCCAGGGTACATCTTCTCAAAGTCCTTCCGAGTGCATGTGTGGGCCTGCGGGCAGAGAACCAGTTTTACGAAAGTGCCCTTCCTCCGTCTGTGTGGGTCTGCATCGGGTGGGTGGAGACTTTTCAGCCTGAGAGGCATGTTCCCTTGCCGGAAACCTTGCAGGGCCAGCATGTCAGTGGTGGGCAGGGCCTATATTGAGAGTGGGTGGGGCCTATATTGAGAGTGGGCGGGGCAGAGCCACTTCACAGACACGTCAATTGAAATTGAAATACTTTATTGTCACTTGTACAACTTGTGTACAGTGAGTTTACACCAGCACCCCCCACTCAGCTCTCTTAGTCTTAATTCCCCTCGTTTACTGACGCACACCCACCAAACCCGAAAGTCAGTTGCCCTGTTGTTATCTTTTCATTCAGCAGCCTAACAGCCCACGGATAGAAGCTGTTCTTTACCCTGTTGGCGCGACTAATCATGCTTCTATATCTTCTGCCCGAGGGCAGGAGATCAAGAAAGTGCCGGCCAGGGTGTGAATCATCCCTGAGAATTTTCCTCACTCTCCTGAGGCAACGTTTTTCCGCGACAGTGGCACCTCGGGTTACATACGCTTCAGGTTACAGACTCCGCTAACCCAGAAATAGTACCTCGGGTTAAGAACTTTGCTTCAGGATGAGAACAGAAATCGTGCTTCGGTGGCGCAGCAGCAGCGGGAGGCCCCATTAGCTAAAGTGGTGCTTCAGGTTAAGTACAATTTCAGGTTAAAAACGGACCTCCGGAACAAATTAAGTACTTAACCCGAGGTACCACTGTATTTCATCCAGCGGATTCACGGGACAGCCGATAATATCTTGTGCTGTATTCACCACCCTCTGTAGGCACTTCCTATCAGATGATGTCAAACCAGCGTACCACACCGTGATGCAGTATGAAAAGACACTTTCTATTGTGGACCGGTAGAAGGAGATCATCAGATGTTGATTGACATCGTTCTTTTGCAATATTCTGAGGAGATGGAGTCTCTGTTGGGCTTTCTTAACCATCTGGGTTGTATTTATTCCATGCTCTCAACTCCCTCTTCTGCCCATCTGCCTCCCCTCTTTTGTTCTTTTACACCACTGGGGCGTCAAAAAGAATCCCATTGACATCCACAAAGGTTTATTACAAAGCCTAGTTGCTGTGAGAAGGTGATTCTTTTAATTTTTAATTTTTGGTCTGTGTATGTGGCCACGGCAAACAAGGAGGTTTTACTATTCCTTCCCCAGCTGCAACCTCCTCTAGGGAGTGTTGAATTTTTCAACCTCCTGAAATGAGGGGTGCTAAAAAGTTGTAACATGACTTGGGAATAAAAAGGATATTTCGGTTAAATTAATATAATTAAGTATTGCTCGGTAAGTAAAATGTGTGTGAAATTGCATAGAAATCATTAAAAACGATGGCCAAGCACTTGCAGTTGTAGTGTTTATTAATATTGTTATTCTTTAGTATCACCTGAAATGTTTAGAAGTTCTGAAAGCAGTTTACAGTGGTACCTCGGGTTACATACGCTTCAGGTTACAGACTCCGCTAACTCAGGAATAGTGCTTCAGGTTAAGAACTTTGCTTCAGGATGAGAACAGAAATCGTGCTCCAGCGGCGCAGCAGAGCAGAACGCCCCATTAGCTAAAGTGTTGCTTCAGGTTAAGAACAGTTTCAGGTTAAGAACGGACCTCTGGAACGAATTAAGTACTTAACCCGAGGTACCACTGTATGTGCTTTTCCATCAAACATAAATGTACCAAACTAAATGTTGTCCAAGCACAAAAATAGCTCACACCCCAAAATTAAGACACCTCACTGAATAAATGTGCAAAAATTAAGGTTCAGTCCATAAAAAAGAACACCATCTTCCCCTGTCCCCACCCTTCTGTATAATGATAATACTAATTATTATCATTGTTATTTATGATCTCCTTTCCCGCAGATCAGGACTAGTGGGGCAGGTCCAAGTGGTTCCCCCGTCCTTCCAGAGCAGATTTGGGGAGGGTGTAGGATGTGCTCAGGGTGAGGGGGAGAAAACCCCATTGCAGGTGGAAATCCTTGCAGCAACGGGACTTATTCCTAATATTTAGTCAGAACCTCCTTTCTTGCAACAGATTCAAAATACAAGAAAGGAGATTTCTGACTAAACATTAGGAAAAACTTTCTGATGGTAACTTCTGTTCAACGGTGGAACAGACTCCCTCAGAAGGTGGTGGACCCTCTTTCACCTCTTGGACTACTGCAATGCGCTCTACGTGGGGCTACCTTTGAAGGTGACCTGGAAACTACAACTAATCCAGAATGCGGCAGCTAGAGTGGTGACTGGGAGCACCAGCCGAGACCACATAACACCGGTCTTGAAAGACCTACATTGGCTCCCAGTACGTTTCCGAGCACAATTTAAAGTGTTGGTGCTGACCTTGAAAGCCCTAAATGGCCTCGGTCCAGTATATCTGAAGGAGCGTCTCCACCCCCATCGTCCAGCCCGGACACTGAGGTCCAGCACCGAGGGCCTTCTGGTGTTTCCCTCCCTGCGAGAAGCGAAGTTACAGGGAACCAGGCAGAGGGCCTTCTCGGTGGTGGCACCTGCCCTGTGGAACGCCCTCCCACCAGATGTCAAGGAAATAAAACTATCTGACTTTTAGAAGACATCTGAAGGCAGCCCTGTTTAGGAAAGTTTTTACTGTTTGATGTTTTATTCTGTTTTTAATGTTCTGTTGAAAGACGCCCAGAGTGGCTGGGGAAACCCAGCCCGATGGGCGGGGTAGAAATATTTAATTATTTTTTTTAAAAAATATTATTATTATTAAATTACTGGGAGCTTTCTAAACAGAAATCGGATGGCCATCTGCCAGGGATTATTTAGCTGTGACTGCAGCGGATTGGACTGGATGACCTTTGGGGATCCCCTCCAACTCTACAGTTCTATGAACGCTGCCCCCACCTTCGTACCTTTGCCCAGTGAGGTCTCCCTCCAACCTTCTTCATGATGCTCTCGTAGGCGAGCCAGTAGTCAAGGCGCGGGACATCTTTCCCATAGGGCCTGAACGGGATAAAAAAATAAGCTGAAGTTTACTCTCCATTGTGGAACAACATAGCTGAGCTTCACTTCTGATGGGCGCTGGATGGGAGTTCCATAGTTTGTCTCCAAGTGCTTCCATTCCAGGAATGCCAACCAAGAAAGAGTTTTTCCTCCTCCTTGCCAAGCCCTTTTCCTTTTGGGATCGTGCCTTTTAGATGTTAAGCCTGAGGAGGCCGGCTGCCCCATCACCAATATTTAGCTTCTGCCTCATTGATCCACTGTTAGGCTCCTCTAGTCCAGCATCTGGTCCTCACTGCCACCAACCAGATGCCCGTGGGTTGCTCACAAGCAGAATCCGGGCACAAGAGACCTCTCTCCTCTTGCTGCTGGTATTCAGAACCGCTATTGCCTCTGACTGTGAAGGCAGAGCCATCACCGCTAGAGGCCACCAGTAGGCTTATCCTCCAATACCCACCAGGCAACCCAAATGGACCCGCCTGGACCCAACTCGTCTTACCTGTACATGATGATGTTCATGTAGCAACTGTCCCTTCGGAAGCAGGGGCTCAGCAAGATGTCGTCTCCCCGAGTGAAGCGCACTTCCACTGGGTAGTGGGCCACCACTTTGGGGTTGCTTTCCAGAACCCCCTTCAGCTCCAGCAGAGCCTCCTTCGTTTTCTCACTGTGAGGAGATTGTACAAAAAGACCCAACGTCGAGGAGATCTTGTGCAAGGGGATTACACCCAAATGGGTGTAACGGTCAATACCTCCCTCCCTTCCACAAGGAACTGCGGTAAACTGACGGCCTGGAGATTTGTGAACCCCAGGATGAAGGTTCTCCATCCCTGACTTAAGACACTCAGGTGGGCTTTGATCATTTTTTGGAACATCAGTTTCTTCCCTTGGGAACTCTCCAAGGTCCTGAAGGAACCATGCCCTGGTCTTCCCATCAGAATCAGAGATGAGCCCCTTTCCTCGCTCCAGATCAGCCCCCTTCCTTCTCGGTCTTCTCGGTAGTGGCACCCGCCCTGTGGAACACCCTCCCACCAGACGTCAAAGAGAAAAACAACTACCAAACTTTTAGAAGATATCTGAAGGCAGCCCTTTTTAGGGAAGCTTTTAATGTTTAATAAGTTATTATATTTTAGTGTTTTGTTGGAAGCCGCCCAGAGTGGCTGGGGAAACTCAACCAGATGGGCGGCGTATAAATAATAAATTATTATTATAATATTATTATTCCAGCCTTGCTCACTGTCTTGCCTGCCGTATATTAAGAGCAAGACCCTGACTACCGAGTTAGTTAAATATATTGTTGCACGCCAACCCCGATCTCCAAGCGGTGAGAGACTCCAGGGGTTCCTGGCGCTTACCCAGATTCTGTTTCCTTGGTCAGCACAGACTGTGGTGTCTTTAAGATATTTGGTTTTATCTACCCATACATAGGGACGCGGATGGCACTGTGGGTTAAACCACAGAGCCTAGGACTTGCCGATCAGAAGGTTGGCGGTTCGAATCCCCGCGATGGGGTGAACTCCTGTTGCTCGGTCCCTGCTCCTGCCAACCTAGCAGTTCGAAAGCACGTCAAAGTGCAAGTAGATAAATAGGTACCACTCCGGCAGGAAGGTAAACGGCGTTTCCATGCGCTGCTCTGGTTTGCCAGAAGCGGCTTAGTCATGCTGACCACATGACCCGGAAGCTGTACGCCGGCTCCCTCAGCCAATAAAGCGAGATGAGTGCCGCAACCCCAGAGTTGGTCACGACGGGACCTAACGGTCAGGGGTCCCTTTACCTTTACCCACCTGAGCCGAAGATGGAGGGGCTCACAGCATCGACACCCCAACAGATCTTTCTTCTCCATTTGAAACAGCTATGACTCCAACAAGCAAGTCTTTGTGTTTCCAGCTTCCAGTTCATCTCACACCCCCAAACTCTGGCTCATGTTCTCCTACTTAGCAGCGAGGTGAGGGGGTGGAGGAAAGCCACCCCCCCATTATCCAAAAGGGCCCCATCACTTAAGGCATAGCAACCTGGCTCATCCTTTTGGGATGCTGATGAGGACATTTGAGTGGCCATCTAAGGTCGTTGCCCAACAAAGAAACTTGTCCAGCAACCTCCTTTCTTAGATTCTAACACTACCTGGGTACAGGACCCCAGGGATTGGAAGACACTCAGGGCTTCATCCAGACTGGCACCCCAAACCCACAACATCATTCAAATTAGAGAGGCGACTACAATCTGAATTTTACATGTGAAAACCCACCCCACCCCTGATCATCCTGGAATCAGCCCTAGTCTTCCAACCCTCTGTATACGAGGTCAAATCAGCTTACATGGGGATGGCCCAATCCTGCACATGCTGCTTGAAGCGGCACTCGTAGTTGAATATCTTGTAGCTCAAGTTGATGTTCTCCACTTTGCCGGTGAAGAGGAGCCAGAAGAAGAAGCGGTTGATCCAGGGAACCAGGCAGGGCAGGAATGTGCTGATGGAGGAGGAAGAGGAGGAGAGGACAAGGTGGAAGTCAGATGGGCAGAAATCCGAGGTGGGTGGGAATTCGGATACAGGGAATGTGGGCTGACCCTTCCTTCTCTCCCTTTGAGAGTAGCTGGGATGGTAGGCTATGGATTGTGCCTGAATATAAGAAACTAAGACGAGCTTCCTGGATCAGGCCATTAGTCAGCCAGATGGCCGTGGAAAACCCACAAGCAAGTGTGATAGGAATTTTGAGGTCTTAGATATATGTTCAATGTTCATAAGTGTACCAACCAAGCACGTACATAGATCAGCACAGGAAGACCGACCTGAAACCATTTTTGATTCCCAAACCGACCAAATGTTTTCTCTGCAAGGTCAAAGGAAAATGGAAAAGCCTCGCCATTGTCTTTTCCTTCACAAATCCTGTCTGAAGGGTATGTCTGTGTATGAATAGGGTGAGCCTGTGACCTGGCTCAGGAACTAAGTATTTATCATTACAAAAGACTGGCCAGGCTCCCCAGGGTATCCAATCAAGTGAGCATTAACAGGTAACCTGCCATACAGGAGATAAACAACGCACTCAGATTTCTGCTGTAGACCGCACTTTCTGTGATGTAGGTATGATGTATCTGGGGGGTGGTCTTAGGTTACACCCCTTCTGTGATGTATGTATGATGTATGGAGGGGTGGTCTGGAGCTCCAGGGCAAGGAATTTAAAATGTCTATATAAGGGCAGGCACACCTTGGTTCTGGGTTCCTCCTCCCTCCTGCGTGTGGTGAGTGAGGACCCTGTTGCAACTGATCACTAAAGCACAGGCTTACTAGCTGCTTTGCTTCTCAATATTCTCTGGTTGGCCTCTGTTATTTTCTCCTACCAATAGGGAACCTACATAAGGACTCTATATGGGCTCTTGGATACCCCATAAGGGGAACAGGGCAGATTTTTGTTTACAACACAGGATTCATGCCCAAGAACCCTCTCCCCTCCTGTCGTTCCCCGTAATTGGTATTCAAAAGCATTTCTGCCTCTGACCGTGGAGACAGAGCATAGCCAGAATGGCTAGTGGCCACCGATAGCCCTCTCCTCCTCCACGAACTTGTCCTATCCTCTTTTAAAGCCATCTAGGTTGGTGGCCATCACTGACTCCTGTGGCAGGGAGTTCCATAGTTTAACTATGTGCTTTGATGGAAGCAGTGCCCTCTAGGATGAGGAGGGGCCTCAAGTGTATCCCACCTCCCCTTGCAGAAGCCCCCTGGCAAGGCCGAGACCAAAGGCAGCTTTTTCCTCAGCATCTAGGGCGCAGCTAAGACGCCATTGATACCAAAGCAAGGCCTTTGCTTGCACACAGCTTCTCCAGCAGAATTAATTCCATGCTGCTGCTGCTGCAGCAGCAGCAGCAGCTCAGAGACGGATGCTTTCAATTGCTTATCTAGTAGCTTTTGCACGCACTCTACTGCAATAATCTTTGACCATCTAGCATAGTTAACCTATGGAACTCCCTCCCGTCTTCAGTCAACGTCTTCAAAACAATGACACTTCTCCTTCTTGCTCCTTCTTGCCTCAGTACAATGCTTGAAGCACCCGTCTTTAAACAGCCCACATTTATTGCATAAAATAAAACGCCACAGGAGTTTGACTTGCTGGTTCCTGGTGCCCCTTCCTATTAAGCCAATCTGTGATTGCATCTTGCAGAAACAACCACCAGCCAACAGTTATAAGGCCACTGGGGTCAAAGACTCCTGGATTTGTGGCTTTCTCTGCCAAACCAACGCCAGAGAGTGTGTCCTTTCAGCTGCTGCCCACAAGATGGCAGAACAACTGCACACATTGCCCCCCTAACTTGCTCTGGAATAAAGGAAGGATCAGACAGAGTTTCAGACCAAGGGTCTGCTTGTAAGTTAGGAAGCTTCATTTGCTAGCCTTTGGCCTTCAACCTCCCACCAAGCCCACCCAGAGCAGCTTCTTTGAAATCTGGGGTCCTTCCCACACGAATGCCTTGCCAAGGCACGCTGAATCTCACCTGACCCAAAGGAGGAACTCCAGCAGGTAGTATCCGATCACGTAGTCCCAAAACCAGCTGGCAGAGGAAGTGGGAGGCTGCAAAGGCATGCAAGACGGGAGAGAGAAAGGCTACAGACATTGCCCAGCAGGGAAAATGTGGCCTTCAAAACCTTGGCCTAGATCAGCCCCCAGCCATGTAGTTTACATCTCCCCCTGCCCTGAGACTCCAATGATTTGGGTGGCAACGGTGAAACACACACAAAACACAGACCTAGCAATGGGGAGGGTGTGGGATGTGATCCATGAGAGGCAGTCAAGTACAACATTCCTTGTTTTCCTAGAGTGGACATGCGAGGGAATGTTTGGTCCAGCCAGTCGAAACTTCCTGTTCCTCGTGGCTGGAGCATCCTTCCTGTTGCCTGTGATAGAAGGTGGGCGTGACCTTACCTGTCCAGGTAACAAAAGGACAAATCACGCAGCACCCTTCTCTCTTTTTGACTCCCTTCTTCGTTGGACCAGCTTTTAGCTAGGACTGCTCTGCTAGCTCTCAGCTAACAGAAGCACTGGGATTATTCCCACATATGGGGTAGATCCACATATACATGTCTGTAACTAAGTCTGCCTTCAGGAATCCAACTGTGAACTGATGTGAGTAAACTCCTCTTATTGACTTTGAATAAGATTGTGGCATTTTTATTTTTAAAGAGGGATTCAAGGGAACTTACCAGGAATATACAATTCAATCTGAGACAGAATGAATTGTGTAATAGTGAGAGGCTCACACGAGCCTGCAGCCAGCTATCTACTGTGCATGTAAAAGGGGGGGGGGATGTAACTCTGCTAAATAAAGGAACTTGCTAGCACAAGTTAGGAAGGATATTAATAAACAATATATCCTCTCCTGCCACCCTGAACATTCCCACAGAGGGCAAGGTGGTGAGCTTAAAACTGCTCTCTGGTCTGCCCAGGGTCCTGATGAGGAACCAAATCTTCCCTTCTCTGATCATCAGATTGATCCTTTGATGAGCAGGGATGATCTGAATGGATCAGCTGTGCAGGATACTGTGCTTGCATGAATTCATGTGGGAGAATGTGGGGGCGATCACACCCACCACTGACAGGCAGCTTCAGGAAGACCCCCTAAGCCCTGGGGGTCGGGGGGCAAATATCCCTTGGACCAATGACCTGTCTGTCACCTGGCATCACTATGACATCAGCTGATTGACAGGTGGGTAGTCCTATCCACATGTTGATCCCCTGATACAATCCTGTCCAGCTGTTAAAGCTGCGTCTCAGGTTTGGTAAGGAGACACTAACTGAGCAGGGTTCAACTCCTACACGTCGCCTGATGGACGGCTGTGCATGTTTCGATCCTGATTTCTGCAGAGAAAGCAGCCACCTCTCTGCGTACCAAACACCTGGCGTGACATATAATGTGAGGTGCAGGGCAGGTGGGCATGGTCTGGGCAAAACAGCCTTGCAGGCCAAATGGAGAGGCCTGGTGAAGCAATTTTGGCCTGTGGGCTGGAGGTTGCCTCAGTTTATGCCTATTATTATTATTATTATTATTATTATTATTATTATTATTATTATACCCCAGCCACTCTGGGCAGCTTCCAGCAGAATATAATGCATAATAAAATGTCAAACATTAAAAAAAAACCCACAACTTCCCGATACAGGGCTGCCTTCAGATGTCTTCTAAAAGTTCTGTAGTCCTTTATCTCCTTGACATCTGATGGAGCATAGTGACCTGTGGAGTTATAATCCCTTCTTTCAATTCCTTCCACCCCCCCCAAAAGACTTTACGGTCCTTTCCGCTGGCCCCCTGAGCATCGACTTACCTTGTTGGTGTGGTCTTGATAGATGACGCTCACGTTCTCAGTGTGAGGGAACCAAAGGAAACGGAAATACTCAGATTTCTTCAGGTGGCTGTCTAGGTTGTCCAGGACCTGTCAGAGGGAAAAGAAGAGTGGATGGGCTGGAAGCTGAATGGAGGAAAGCACTGCTCAGGTTTCCTGTCCAGGCGTGTTGGTCAACAGAACAGCATTTGCTTCCCTCCAGATGTTTTGGGACTACAATTCCCATCACCCCTGACCACTGGTTCTGTTAGCTAGGGATGATGGAAGTTGTAGTACCAAAACATCTGGAGGGCCAAGTTTGGCCAGGCCTGACCTAGATGGACCAAAGATCTGACTCAGCATAAGGGAGCATCCCTAGGGAAAGTCAGGTGTGTTGAAAAACTCAGTCCTGGGTGCAAAACTTGCAGCACCTCGAGAGAAAATGATTCCCAGTGTAATGGCCACATCGTGGGCTTTCAGTCTGGCTGACCCCATTCTGCAGAACAGCATCCATATGAAAATACGAGAGGCGCCCCGCTTGATGCAGTTTTTGGAAACTGAAATATAATCGGAGTCCTGTAGTGATTTCATGCTCTTTATTGCAGCTTGTTGAAGAACCTTTTAATGAGGGTGAAAGAGGAGAGCGCAAAATATGGTCTGAAGCTCAACATCAAAAAACCTAAGATCGTGGCCACTAGTCCCATCACCTCCTGGCAAATAGAAGGGGAAGAAATGGAGGCAGTGAGAGATTTTACTTTCTTGGGCTCCATGATCACTGCAAATGGTGACAGCAGCCATGAAATTAAAAGACGCCTGCTTCTTGGTAGAAGGGCAATGACAAACCGAGACAGCATCTTAAAAAGCAGAGACATCACCTTGCCAACAAAGGTCCATATAGTTAAAGCTATGCTTTTCCCAGTCGTGATGTATGGAAGTGAGAGCTGGACCATCAAGAAGGCTGATCGCCCAAGAATGGATGCTTTTGAATTCTGGTGCTGGAGGAGACTCTTGAGAGTCCCATGGACTGCAAGAAGATCAAACGTATCCATTCTGAAGGAAATCAGCCCTGAGTGAAGGATCTGGAAGGACATATCGTGAAGCTGAGGCTCCAATCCTTTGGCCACCTCATGAGAAGAGAAGACTCCCTGGAAAAGACCCTGATGCTGGGAAAGATGGAGGGCACAAGGAGAAGGGGACGACGGAGGACGAGATGGTGGGACAGTGTTCTCGAAGCTACCAGCATGAGTTTGACCAAACTGCGGGAGGCAGTGGAAGACAGGAGTGCCTGGCGTGTTCTGGTCCAGGGGGTCACAAAGAGTCGGACACGACTAAACGACTAAACAACAACAACATTGCAGCTTGTAAAACAGTGATTGAATTGCCCCCCCCCAAAAAACCCTCAGGCTTTTATATACAGTCATACCTCATGTTACGTCCACTTCATGTTACGTTCTTTCAGGTTACATCCCGCGGCGACGCGAAAGTACTGGAAAGGGTTACTTCCAGGTTTTGCCGCTCACGCATATGCAGAAGCGCAAAATGATGTCACACGCATGCACAGAAGCGGTGAATCCCAACCCGCGCTTGTGCAGACGCACCACTCTGGGTTGCGCTCTTTTCATGTTGCGAAGGGGCCTCCGGAATGGATCCCGTTCACAACCAGAGGTACCACTGTACATTATTTACCCAATGAGCCCCGTCTGATTGGCTGATTCTGCTTCCCTCCTGGAGCCTGATTGGTCTTTTCCTGCAGGCCAATCCGTTGTTGCATTCTACGATCCTACCAGCCTAATAGGCTGATCAACTTCCTCCTGGAGCCTGATTGGTCTTTTCCTGCAAGCCAATCAGTTGCTGCATTCGAGGATCCTACTTGCCTATTGTTCTAGGATCCAAGCTTAGTAACATAACGGAAACAATGGAAGACGCCTTTGTTTGGCTAGCTTTTCCAGCAGGATGGAAAGAGAAAGTTAGGTCTCTGAGGCCTTGGGGCTTTTTATTTGTATTCTTTTTAAACCAGAGGTGGATTTAGGGCAGCACGACCAGTTCCCCCGCCCTGGGCAAAGATGACGTAGTGAATTGAGCAAAACAGAAAGCGAGAAACAGAGAGGAGCTAAATTTTCACCTTGCAAGGAGCGCCGCTTAAATTTGAAAGGACAAAGTCTGCCCCTGTTTAAATCTATCCTCAGGGTGTTTTTTTTTGGGGGGGGTGGATTCTGCTTATACCTATTTTCAGTTGTTTTTAGGGTATGACCTTGAAATTTATGTGAAAGGTGGTAACATAACAAGGAGAAGGAAGATGAAGGAGGGGGGAAGGTTTGAAGAAGAAGCCCGATGCAGCGAAAACACCTTTCTGATTTATTGTGGCGCAAACCTTTATGAACTAACATCCATTTCAACAGATGCACGACGCATTATCCTCAGCTGACAGGCATGGCAACCGTAGAAAATGGGGCCAAACGGTCACGAAATGCAAAACCTTCAGTCTGTGGCAATTTTGTGCAAAGCTCAAATGTATTTGAAGACACACCGATTGAGAATTCAGTGATCGGAGGTACAACACAACCCTCCTAGCTTTTAATAGGTTACAGGTGGGGACCCAAATTCGGCGACATGATGGCATCTTATTACGGAACGTTTCCTTCCAGGTTCTCGCCTTGCAGAGTCCCAAAGTCCAGCGTCAGTAGCTGAAATGTTCTGATTTCTAGCCTCCATTTATTGGTTGGGGGAGGACAGGCTTGGTAGAGGCAACGGAGCTTTTTCATTCTGAGGAATTATCCCTTGCGGGGTGGTGATGGTTATTCTCGACTGCCACTGACTTAGCAGCATCATTAAGAAGATGGAACTGCTTAAAACTTGCTCTCTCCGTCTTCCAAGCACCAACTTGAGATGCAGCCCGCAGGCTCCTGGTGGATCGGCTGCTTTTGCTGTGATCCAAAGGCTTTACTGCTCAGTTCTCTCACTCAGCCTTGCCCAACCTGGTGCCCTGAGCACTCTCAGAAGGCAGAAGTCCAGCCCTGTCTTTTATTGGGGTGAGGGGTGGGAAACAGCAAGATCTGTGGCTAATAATAATAATAATAATAATAATAATAATAATAAATTATGTATACCCTGCCCATCTGGCTGGGTTTCCCCAGCCACTCTGGGCGGCTTCCAGCAAAACACTAAAATACAATAGCCTATTAAACATTAAAAGCTTCCCTAAACAGGGCTGCCTTCAGATGTCTTCTAAAAGTTTTTTCTCTTTGACATCTGGTGGGAGGGCGCTCCACAGGCCAGGCACCACCACCAAGAAGGCCCTCTGCCTGGTTCCCTATAACTTGGCTTCTCGCAGTGAGGGAACCGCCAGAAGGCCATCGGAGCTGGACCTCAGTGTCCAGGCTGGACGATGGAGGTGGACTCCTTCAGGTATACTGGACCAGGGCCGTTTAGGGCTTTAAAGGTCAGCACCAATACAGTGGTGCCTTGCAAGACAAAAAGAATCCGTTCCGCAAGTCTCTTCGTCTTGCGGTTTTTTCGTCTTGCGAAGCAAGCCCATTAGCGGCTTAGTGGATCAGCTGATAAGCGGCTTAGCGGCTTAGCGGATCAGCTGATAAGCGGCTTAGCGGCTTAGCGGATCAGCTGTTAAGCGGCTTAGCAGATCAGCTGATAAGCGGCTTAGCGGCTTAGCGGATCAGCTGTTAAGCGGCTTAGCGGATCAGCTGATAAGCGGCTTAGCGATCAGCTGTTAAGCGGCTTAGCGGATCAGCTGTTAAGCGGATTAGCGGATCAGCTGATAAGCGGCTTAGTGATCAGCTGTTAAGTGGTTTAGCAGCTTAGCGGATCAGCTGTTAAGCGGCTTAGCGGCTTGGGAAAAAGGGGGGGGGGAGGAAAAAACCCCTGCAGGAACTCGCAAGACATTTTCGTCTTGCGAAGCAAGCCCATAGGAAATTCGTTTTGCGAAGCACCTCCAAAACGGAAAACCCTTTCGTCTAGCAGGTTTTCCGTCTTGCGAGGCATTCGTCTTGCGGGGCACCACTGTACTTTGAATTGTGCTTTGAAACGTACTGGGAGCCAATGCAGATCTCTCAGGACCGGTGTTCTATGGTCTCGGCGGCCGCTCCCAGTCACCAGTCTGGCTGCCGCATTCTGGATTAGTTGTAGTTTCCGGGTCACCTTCAAAGGTAGCCCCACATAGAGCGCATTGCAGTAGTCCAAGCGGGAGATAACCAGAGCATGCACCACTCTGGCAAGACAGTCCGTGGGCAGGGAGGGTCTAATTCTGCGTACCAGATGGAGCTGGGAGACAGCCGCCCTGGACACAGAAGTGACTGAAACAGAATTGACTGGGCACGGAATTGAATGAAAAGCACCCAGGAGCCACGCCAGCTGCTGCGATTCATCCTCCATCATCACTCATTTCTCGCATGACATTCATCTGTATATTTGGGCATTGCCAGGACAGTTCACAGAAGGTGCATGTCGTAAGCAATGAAGGCATCGCCCGATCCGGCCCTAAGCTTTGCCGAAGAGCAACAGCTGGCTGGTGCCTGGAGCCCTGAGTCCAGAATTGCTCTCACTTTGCCGATTGCGAAGCCATTTCTCTCTCTCAGCACTGAGCAGTGGCTCCATCTTAAAAAGTTATGTTCAGGGAAGAAAGCAAAACATCAGTGCACGTCGGTGCAATGGTCCGTGCTAATGAATTTAATGCAGTTAAACGCGGCAAATTAGCAGCAGATCCACCTAATTTAAGAAGGCCAACATTGCCCCTGCTCCTAGTTACTTCATTATCCAGGCTCCTTCGCAGCCACGCTCTGTCCTCTGAAGAACTAATGGATCGACACGTGCCAATTATGGCTTCGCTTTTGCTGGTGGTGCAGAGTACATGTCTCAAAAAAAGCCCCATTTTGGATGAAATTTCGGTGGAGCTTTTGTCCCTCTCCTCATAGCACTAAGACTTGTGGGCATGCAACGAAGCTGGCTGTCCGACTTCTTCATGTGGTGCATAGTTGGACTGTGGAACTCACTGCCACAGGAGGCAGGGATGCTCACCAACCTATATAGCTTTGAAAGAGGATTAGACAAAGCCATGGAGGGGGGCCGGCTATTGAGGGTTACTAGCCACAATGACTATG